AATCACTACATTAAAGGACCACTCTAGGCACCCAGACCACTTCAGCTTAATGAAGTGGTCTGGGTGCCAGGTCCTTCTAGGGTTAACCCATTTTTTCATAATTATAGCAGTTCCAGAGAAACTGCTATAATTATGAATGGGTTAAGCCTTCCCCCTAATCCTCTAGTGGCTGTCTCATTGACAGCCACTAGAGGCGCTTGCGTGCTTCTCACTGTGATTTTCACAGTGAGAGCACGCCAGCGTCCATAGGAAAACATTGTAAATGCTTTCCTATGCGACGGGCTGAATGCGCGCGCAGCGCTTGCCGCGCGTGCACATTCAGCCCAGGAGGAGGAACGGAGGAGGAGAGAAGGAGGAGAGCTCCCCGCCCAGCGCTGGAAAAAGGTACGTTTTTACCCCTTTCCCCTTCCAGAGCCGGGCGGGAGGGGGTCCCTGAGGGTGGGGGCACCCTCAGGGCACTATAGTGCCAGGAAAACGAGTATGTTTTCCTGGCACTATAGTGGTCCTTTAAGCTTTATTGGTTCTGGTAACTATAATGTCCCTTTAAGTCATATCTAAACTTCTAAAAGTATGGTAAAATCCAAAGGTGCTATGTACAATGTTAAAGCTTCTGTTTGCTCTTTAGTGAATAACTTTAACAGAATTGCATTCATCAAAGGGAATTTTTGATGTATAGGTCATACCCCATCCTGAACAAAGATTCTAACATACAATTCTAAATATACATACACAATCATTTTGTTCAATCATACAAAATACGGCAGCTATCCACTTTAAAGTCAATCGAGAGATACTTTAGAATACTGAGGAAAAAAATAAAATAAAATCTCACCAGCAGTGGATGCTTCTTCCGCTGATTCAGCAGTACATGAGTGGAAGAAACAGAATGAGGAAAGTTAGCTATAGCATTAAAGCGAAATCACATTCTCTGTTTAACCATTTGCACTCTCTGTTGTGTAGTTTTCTAATCAAAATAAAGTTCCCTTTATGTTTAATGATTTATGCTCTGGGGCATATATTCTTACTGGAAGTTTTTGTTGCACTTATAAATTACATGATTTTGCTATTTCATGACGAAAAGTCATGATTTTATGAAAGACACGGAGGCGAGTACTGCTTAACCCTTTCTTTACTGTCCAACAATAGCAGCAAAGAATACAAACAGTAAGAAAAAATGGTAACCATAGTGATAGACCACTCCCATACCAAGTCCCAGTATAATAGTCAGCACCTCCCCACACAATTCCTCTTTCTATGGATATGCGACACCAAACCAGAAAACAGGAACCGATGAACAGTCCAGAACTCAGCAGACCAAACCATCCCGAAATCCAACCGGATACTTATCAGGAACTGTAGCGGATGGCACTGGGCTGTCCTGAGAAATTACATGTAATTGAATGCATTCGTGTAAAGTAACTAAGTTCTATGTGTTAAAAATATTGTATTCGTCTGAATGTTAGGTAGTTTCATTCCCTTAGTTTGTTCGAATGAAACTACCGAACAGTCAGACCTCCCCTGTGCCTTCAATTACCCGTTGCAAAACTGTTGCGAACAGGTAAATGACAAGCTGAGTAACCTTCCTTTGTTCTCGGGGGTGGCCGCCATTCGAGAAACGAACACGTGGCGGCGGCCATTTTAAAACTCCCGAACAGCGGTGTTTTGCTGTCGAGTGTCTGGAACTCAAATCGGACACTCGACTAGGCGAACACCGCTGAAACCTCCACAAGCCCGGTCCGTTCGGTTCCAAACTACCGAATGGCCCCTCGTTCGGTACATAGAAAGAACCGAACGAGGGGATTCAGGCGAACCCTCCCTAGTCTCTGTAGCTAGAGGCTTTCGTGCCGTTTATTCCCTGACTCCAGGACCGACCACAGGGCCCATTCGCATGGAACCTTATTCGGCTGTGCTCTCCAGTGCGGTTGGTCATTTTATTCCCTCCATGAATTTCCCGAACCCCTGGTCTGATCTGGGTGATTTTTGGATATGTTGTTCACCCAGATCAGGGGTATCCGGGGATGTAGGATTTAAAGAGGTACCCCTACGTTTAGGGGTACATCCAGAAACGGGGGGAATTACTGTACTGGATAAGGGGATTATGATGCTGGCTGAGGGGAGGAGAAGTGTGGGAGGTTACCAGGACAGGATTGGCTACTGTAATAATGAGTGTAAATCCCTCCCTTGCATGGGAGCATGCTTTAAAAGGAGACTGTGGATTAAAGCTTTCAGTTCTGCTCCTGAAACTGTGTGTCGTCCAGTTATTGGGATTGCTGTTGGGATATTGCTGTGTTATATTGCCTGCTGGATACTTTACCCTATGGATTTAGAATTGCTTGTTCCTGAACCTCCCTGGAATCCAAAGTGGAGATAGGCTGTGTAAAACCAGCTCTCCGCTACAGGAACCATCTGTGAACTGTGACTAAACCATCAACAAATGACTAAGCGTCAACAACAGGGAGTCCTTCACAGCACCATCCATAGATCTCCAGCCAACGTGGTGAAGTCTTGGGAAGAAGTGAGGATCTTTATACAGCACCAACAGTGCACAATCAACCTGTGAAAACATAAAAAACAGGAGCCCAACCGTTAAATCAGTACTAAAGCCAATTGCTCATGCCAAGACATAATATATTGATATACTGAAACCACATAGTGCCCCTAATGTCAGACAAGAGAACCACCACCAGGCCAACATAGCATTAACAGTATGGATGCACATAAAAAGGTAATACCACGTTGAACTCAGTGCAATACTTACCAACCTGAGATATAACACAACAGGGGGGGAAAATACAATGATAGAAAAATAATAGGGTGGGACAATACTCGCCTCCGTGTCTTTCATAAATCATGACTCTTCGTCATGAAATAGCAAAATCATGTAATTTTATGTCAAGACACGGAGACTCATATTGCAAGTTTAAAGCTGATCAATAACCGAAGAGAAAAGATGTGTTGAAGGCCGAAAGTAAAATTCTCTGAAGGTGGATTCGCGGGACCAGTCCGCCATCCTCATCAGGTCTTCCAGGCGTGCGCCCGAAGACACCATAGACGTGGCTGATGCCCCCTCGTGCGGAGTGAGCGCCAAAGATGGACGTATCCACACCGGCCAGTGACATTTCACCCAACGAGCCAAGGTAGTGCTGGACACCGGGGAGAAGGGTTGACGAATCGAGAGAAAGAGCTGAGGGGATGCGGCCGAACGATGGGCACTCGTCCAAAGTTCATACTCCCTCAAACAGGTCACAGGACATAGCGCCGGGGTAGTTGGAAAACTCGGATATGAGACCGAACCTATAGCCATCTTAGTGCATCTGAAGATGTTAAATGTCACTCCATCCGGAGTGAAGGACCTAGCATCGTAATCCATGGCCCGTACATCCAAGACCCGTTTGCACGAAATGAGGCAGAACAGGGAAACCAATTTGTCAGACAGTTGTCGCAGGGTGAGGTCCGAATTAGGAGGCCAGGAAGTAAACAGTGACAAGATGCAGGAAACATCCCATGTAGCCGAATATCGAGGTATGGGGGGACGCGACAGGCGTGAACCCAGAAGTAAGAGGCACACCAAGAGGTGTTGGCCTGCAGGACAGCCATTGAAACCCTGGTGGGCCAAAGAGATGGCTGATCTAAACAGGTTAATCGTGTGATACGCACGACCAGCCTCAAATAACGAAGTGAGGAATTGGAGTATCGCTGTCACAGGTCCCAAAATGGGACCCAAGTCCTGAGCCAGGCACCAATCAGTCCAAGCTCTCCAAGCGGTCCCATATGCTCATCTAGTGCCGGGGGCCCATGCGTCAGCCAGGAGAGATCGTGTTGCATCAGAAAGTAGTGGTAGTAGTAGTAGTAGTAGTAGTAGAGTAGCAGCAACAACCCGTCCAGTAGGAGGGGGTGTCGTTGGCCCAATGAGTCCAGCAGAAGATCCTGGCAGGATGGCAGAAGTCTGGGTTCATCTATTGCCAGCTCCAGGAGCTGTGGGGACCACGACTGGTTCCCTCACAATGGGGTCAGAAGGACCAAGTCGTCCATCTGGCGTCGTACTCGCAGTAGAACCCGAGGAATCATGGCAACTGAAGGGAAGGCGTAAAGAGGTGAGCCAGTCCAGTCTTGTAGGAAAGCATCCACTGCCTCCACGGCTGGGTCTGGGTGCCAGCTGTAGAACCGAGGTAGATGGGCGTTGAGCGGAGAAGCGAAGAGTGTTGATGGCAAAGGGTCCCCAGAGAGATGAGATAGCGGAGAACACCTATACATTCAATTTCCAATCGCTGCTGTCTGACAGATAGCGTGAGCTCCAATCCGCATGGATGATCAGATTCCTGGCCAAACAATAGGCCCAGAAGTCCTTCGCCAAGCAGGCCAGAATAGCCGAATGCGTGCCGCCCATGTGATTGACATAGCGAACTGCTGAGATGTTGTCCATGCGCAGTCGGATGCACGCACTGGCGGTCCAGTTCGCGAAGCTCCGGATCGCAAATGAGCCGGCCAGGAGCTCCAGGGCATTGATGTGGAGACGGGATTCATCCTCCAACTAGCATCCCCCGGTAGTCACACTGTTGCAGTGGGCACCCTAACCGTGGAGACTTACATCTGAATCGACCGTGAATTCCGGTTAGGAACCGAAGATGGCCTTGCCATTCCAAGCAGATAGGTTGTGGATCCACCAGGTCAGCTCATCTCGGGTTTCCGAATCCAGGGAAACCATGTCTGCATATGATGCCCCGTTGCGAAGATGTGCAATCTTCAGACACTGGAGTGCACGATAATGGAGAGGGGCTGGAAACACTGCCTGGATTAAGGAGGCCAGTAGGCTGATGATCCGTGCCAGATGACACAGCAACAGCTGGGGGCGCTAGGGCGTGGGGTGGTTCCTTGCGGATGGAGCGTATTTTGGCCGGAGGGAGCCTGAGAGATTCCGCCTCTGAGTCTACCGTGAACCCATGTGTCGGGAAGGGGTCAGGCAGGATTTTTCCCAATTGAGGAGGAAACCCAGGCGAGATAGGAGATCCATCTTCCACTGTGTTTCAGGAGGACCGACCAGTCCTGTGCCATGAGGAGGATGTCGTCCAAATAGACTATCAGTCTTACTCCTCGACTGCGCAACCAAGCCATGGCAGGGCGCATCAATTTGGTGAAGCACCACGGAGCTGACGAGAGCCCGAAAGGGAGGCATGTGAAGTGCCAAGTGTCGCCTTTCCAGAGGAAGCGTAGGAAGTCCCTGGATGCCTCGGTCACTGGGACCGTCAAGTATGCGTCCTTGAGGTCTAATTTTGCCATTCAGTCTCCCCGAAGGAGTAAGTCCAGCAGGAGATGAATGCCCTCCATCTTGAAGTGACGGTAGCGCACTAGAGTGTTCAGGGCCCGGAGGTTGATAACTGGGCGCATCTGCCCACCTTTCTTTTCTACAAGGAAGATGTTCATGAGAACCCCTGTGGGGGACATGGGGGCCCATTCTATCGCCCCCTTCGTGTGGAGAGCTGATAACTCCTCGTCTATTAGGGCACGGTCTGTCCCTGAAAGTATAATAGGGTGAGGCGCAGGAATATGACACGGGGTGTCGACCAACTCTTTGTGGAACCCAGGCATCTGAGGTGATGTCTAACCAGGCTTGGAAAAAATTACGGAGTCTGCTCCCTACACAGATATTGGAAAAAACATGAGGTAAATGTAAGCTTAGCGTAAGGGCGTCTGGAACCGGGGTTCCCTCTGGAGCGCCATGGCCTCCCACGAGAGGGGAAGAAAGGGGACTGTTGTCTCGTCTCCTGGTAGGATGGTCTCTGGGTGTAGAAGCCTCGTCCCGATCCACGGGCGTGGTAATTAGACCGACCGGACAGACGGCCCCTGAATCTGCCGGCCCTGGTAGAAACCTGTCCCTGAAATACCCTCTTCATAGAGGATTGAGCCTTGTCCATTGCCCTGAGTTTGTTGCGCGCCGCCTTGCTAAGGGGGCGCCGTACCCAGTTCTCTAGGTACTTAGCCACATGGTCCACGGGGAGCCATTCTGCCGACCTCGGGTGATGGAGAGCCAGGTTCAAGGTTCCCCAGACGGGTCCATGAGGGCAGAACCCACGGTAGCGGGAGAGTCGCTGCGCGAGCCACTCATTACCAGCCCCGACAGAGCAGGGGCAAAAAGGTCAGTGTCCTGCCCGCCAATGTCGTCATTGGAGTCACCTACGCACTCAGCATCAGCCTCCTCACAAGACCCGATTTCTGAGTCGGAGTCACTCTCTTTGTGTGCTCTAGCACATTTCCACTGCCGCGCCCGTTCTGCCTGGCGCGGAAAGGCTCTCTTGCGTGACATAGGCACGCTGTCATTAGTGGATATAGTCACACCAGTCGTATTATTTCTGGAGGCAGGGGGACTTAAGTGTCTGGATTTGGCCGTAGCCTTTCTTGGAACATCCCCTGTAGGGCTGAAAGCAGAACGCGCTAAGCGCGTCGGCGTGGCCAAGCCTTCTGCGGCCAAAGGGAGTGCCAGTAAGGCCTGTGAAATAGTCTGGGAAAGGGCAGAGGACCTGAAGCCCATTGCGGCCAAAATGGCATCCGTAACGGAGCGCTGTAGAGCTAGGGATTGGGCATTGTCAGGTACTGACATAGGGTCACCTGCGGAGGAAGGGGGCCAGAGCTGGCAGAGGGGTTAACCAAAGCATGGGGTATATCCATTTCCCCAGGGGGAAGGAGGGTGGCAGGCACTTTGGACTTGGGCATAATAAAATCGCTGTGAGATATCCCAATGTTACCAAATATAAAATAGTAATATATGCTGCAGGGAGTTGAAAGCTAAAACGAAAATGACAGGAATAGAACAAGCTAGCAGGAGTTAATCACTCCAGACTAGCTATACCTTATTAGAGGCACTGGCGGATCCAGGGGGGGGGGCAACGGGGCAATTGCCCCCCACCCCCGAGAAATCCGCCGGTCTCCCTCTCCCTCCCCTGTCAGCCCTGCAATGTGCCTGCGGACCGGAGGGGAGATCAGAGATCTCCCTCCCCGGTCCGCAGGCACCGTGCTGACAGCCGGCAGGGGAGGGAGAGGGAGGACCCGGGAGCTCAGTCTGCAGCTCCTCCGGGTCCTCCTCTCGTGAGATTTGGAGCGTTGCCGCGGTTACCACGGCAACGCTCCAAATCTCGCGAGAGTGAACTCTAGCCCGGGAACCACGGGCTAGAGTTCACTGTAACCACTGGGACCACCAGGGAATCACCACTGGGACCACCAGGGAATCACCACTGGGACCACCAGGGATGAAAATATGTCCCCCCTCCTCCTCAATAAAGGTAAGAAGGGAGGGGGGACATAGAATATTTGGTTTTTATTAATTAAATAAAGATATATATTATTTAAAAAAGCCCCCCCTACCCTTAACACACACACACACACATAGCCCCCATACTGCCCCCCCATACACACATACTGCCCCCCATGCTGCCCCCCATACACACATACTGCCCCCCATGCTGCCCCCCCATACACACATACTGCCCCCCATGCTGCCCCCCCATACACATGCTGCCCCATACACACACATACTGCCCCATTCCCCCATACACATGCCAGTTCCATACACACATACCGCCCCCATATACACACATACTGCCCCCCATACACATGTTGCCCCCCACACACACATTGGCTCAAGCTCCCATGCTGCCCCCCCATACACACATGCTGCCCCCATACACACATACTCGCCCCCATGCTGCCCCCATACACACATGCTGCCCCCATACACACACATACTGCCCCCCATGCTGCCCCCATACACACATACTGCCCCCATACACACATACTGCCCCCATGCACACATACTGCCCTCATACACACATACTGCCCCCCATACACACACACACTGCCCACCATACACACACACTGCCCACCATACACACACACTGTCCTCCATACACACACACTGCCCCCATACACTGCCGCCCCATACACACACATTGCCCACACTCACACACACACTGCAACTGTTACACACACATACTGTCCCACACATACACTGCATCCCTGACATACACTGCCCCCCTACTCACACACTACAACCTTCACACACACACACACACACACTGCTCACACACTGTCCCCCTCACACACACACACTGCTCACACACACACACACTGCACCCCTTACACATTGCACCACTCACACACACCACTGCTCCTATGCCCTACTACCGCCCCATTTCCCAGCAGACCTCAGGTAAGTTGTCAAACTGTTCTTAAACGGTTTGACTACTTACTCTAGGAGGGGGTCCCGGCACTATTGACACCATAACCACTACACTGAGCTGTAGTAGTTTTTGTGTCTGGATTATTTCTTTAAATAATCTACAAGTGCCCCTACCGAGATCAGGCTCTGGATCCGCCACTGATTAGAGGGTAGAGATAGGGAGCTCACCAGGGCCAGACCATCAGACAGGAAGAGGACAATGGAGTCACAGACAGCCTGAGAAAGATAAGGCAAATGGAGAAAAAAGATAAGAGCAACAGGGGAAGCTCAAGTGATAGGGATACTGATAATAATACCCTAAAGAGGTCTGGAACACTGGGCTCAAATGATAACACAATATAAAAATCCACAATAGGATAAAACATGGAAACATAAAACATATGGAAAATAAATGATGAAACTACAAGCAAAAGAGCAAATAAATGGTATATATAACAACAGAGCAATAATGAGAGTAACATCAATAATGCAAATAAATTGTATACATAACAATAAGGCAATGATAATATGGAAGAAATTAGTCATGTACTTATCTTTGTTTGGTAGCAGCAAAGAAAGAGGAATTGTGTGGGGAGGTGCTGACTATTATACTGGGACTTGGTATGGGAGTGGTCTATCACTATGTTTACCATTTTTTCTTACTGTTTGTATTCTTTGCTGCTATTGGTGGACAGTAAAGAAAGGGTTAAGCAGTATGAGCCTCTGTGTCTTGTGATAAAATCAGGAGTTCTTGTTGCACACATTTGTTCTTATAACAATCCCTTATAGTATATCCTTTCTGTAAATGGTTACATCTTGCTTTTTTTTATCTGTTTCAAAGTTAAATTGTATATTTTTTGACATCACAAAAGTCAGATAGATAGGTTTGTGTGGAATGGGAAAAAACACAATTATTCCCTAAAGTGAAAATTGTCAGGAATGCAAAAAGTGAATTTCAAATATAAAGTCAAAATAGTCGAACTGAAAGCAAAGCTGCAGATTTTTTCAATTCTGCTTTAAATTTTAAATTTACTTTGAATTCTCTTAAAATTTCCAACAATTTTGACTTTCTGTGACTTTTTGTCATCCAAGCACCTCTGTTTGTCTCTTTGTCCCAGAGCCGTCTTTAATATTGTTTGGACCCTGGGCAAGCATCTGTTTGGGCCCCCTGGGCATGCAATCACCCCCTCCACCCCAACCTAGAGGCGAAACTAATGTAGAGAGTGCCTTGGTGCAACAAAAAATAATTCAGGCCTGCCCTGTAGCACAAGAGTAAAGAAAAGATAGATCCCCATCTGTCATACAACTCCTGCGATGCTATGCCAGCTGGGGATCTACCATCCTTGCAGGGTTGTATTTTTGAGCAGTGTTTGTGCAAATGAATGTCAGCATGTTATTGTATAGAGTGTATGTGTGCATGTAGGGGTGTATTTGTATGTACTGTTACCATTGGAATGCAGTGGTGTACTTGTGTGTAGTGTTTGCATTTTAATGCAGGGATGTGTGATTGTTTGTAGTGTTGGCTTTTAAATGCAGGTGTACTTTTGTGTGTAGAGTTGGTGTTTGTATATAATTTTAGCATTTTAATACAGGAATGTGTTTGCATGTAATGTTTGTATTTGCATGCAGGGGGGTTGTTTGGATGTAGTGTTGTCTTTTAAATACATGTGTACATTTGTGTGTAGTATTAGTGTTTCAGCAAACTGGTGTGTTTGTAATGTTTGTGTTTGGAGGGTTCTGTTTGCATGTTGTGCGATTTCTATAACACATATACACATACACATTAACACGCAGATACACACATGCTCACACTGACACATGCTCACACCTTGACACATACTACACATACACACACACTCAGATACACACCCGTTGACACACAGATACAAGCACTTTGATATACACACACTGGCACATACACACACACACTGATACAGGTATATACACACACACTCAGATACACACATATATAAAGGTATAAATGCAGGGGTGTATATGTGTACAGTGCTAGAGATGGAGTGTATTTA